TGAGGTTTGTTGAGGTCCAGGAGGACCCTGCAGGGCCATGGCCCCAGCACTGCTGGTGGCACTAGGGCTGTGCCATGGGTTTGATCAAGGAGCACGTGCCCACCATCCAGGTTGCAGTCCTGAACACTTTACAGCTATCTGAGAGTACAATGGAATGATTCTGTAAGCTTCCTGGGAGAACATATGGTCCTGATTTCAGCAACATTCAGGCTGTAAAAGTTTTTGCTTCTGATGTCAGAATTATCTGTACAACCAAACCATTGTGTGCTGACATGTGGATGGGATCATTGTTATCACAGTGCAGCTTGATAAATCCAACTTGATTTCTGTAGATCAGAGAGGAGATACTTTTTCTCCTTTATTTTATGACTGTCATTTGGTGACTCTTAAAGACTCAGTCTCTCCTATTACCCATGCATCCATTTTCAGAGTGACCTTTAAAAATAAATGATGTCTGCAGCAGTGGCTGGTTTAGATGTATTGCTGCTGATGATTTATTCAACAGATGCGGGTGTGCTTTGAGATACTGTTTGCAAGTTCAGTGGATTTAGTGTTTTATTTCTAGGTGAATTATTTGAAACCAGCTTCCAAAAGAAACGATGGTTTTCAGGCTGATGAATGTGTTCAGGGCTGTGCTGTTGTGTTTACTGGGTAGCTTGAGCTCAGCAGAGCTATTAAAGATTTATTGTGGTGAAACCAAGAGCAGGATTTGGCTCTTTAGGTCTGGTCTCCGTCCAGTGAAATTTGGCTGGAGCGAATCAATCCCTGAAGCACAAGGATGTTGGATGAATGGAGGAACACATTATTTCTCAAGCTTGTTATTAGGTGTTGTAAGCCAAACTGTTCCTTGTCCCTCTGCTCTCCCTTCAGTCCGGGGGAGTGATGACAGGATGGGAGCATCAGATTTCATGGGAAAAAATCCTAAATGGTTATGCACAAGTGGGGAGGGTGTTGCCAAGACCCTCATGGAAACACAGAGCTGTCTGGTGAGTTCCCATCCCTGCAGCAGTGTCTGCAGATAGGCAGAACCCAGGTTTCAGTCACTGCAGTTTATTAATATTATCTTTTTTAAAATCAGTTATAAATGCACACTTCTGGGTCCAAGGTGAAAGTGGAGGAGCCTGTGTTGGTTTCTTGGCACTCCTGGGCACTGGAGCCGTGGTGTGGGAGTCAGGGGGTGTTCTGCAGGCGCTGGGGTGTGGGGAGGCTGCTCTGGAGGTGCTGCTTTGGCAGCCTCGGAGCCCGTGCTCTGTTCACAGCCACAGATGGGACGTGTGTGTTCCCACCCCGAGCTCTGCCTCTGCTTCAGCCCTGACCTGCATGGACCTCAGGAGGAGGGAGCTGGATGTATAACTGCTTGGCCTGTTAATTCCTTGCCTTTTCTGTGAGGTTCCTGGCTCCCACATCACTCAGGATGGGACACGTGTCCACTGGAGTTGAATTATCTGGGAGCTACATTTGCTGTAGAGCATCCTCTGGTTCCTTCTGGATGCTCTCTGAAGTTCTGTACCACATCTTACAACTGACTGTCCCAGCTTTGTATCATGTCTCATCTTTCCCCTATGTCAGCTGTCAAACTCCTCAGTCAGAGTCTCTACCCTATTTTTGGAACATGCTGTCATATCCTATACGTTTGTATCATGCCTAACACAGGAGGGTTCTGGTCTCTGAATGTGTCTCATTGATTAGACTTGGTCAGTGATTAGTTTTGGAGGGGTGTTTTCTTACACTACGTGTATAATTATAGTGGATTCTCTTTCTTACCACCCTGGTAAATTTTTATTGAGAGTTGATTATTATATTAAAATAATTCACAGTGGTAAATTATTATCAGAGTGCAGATTCCCATTCATTCCATTTCTTGGTCAGAAGTCACAAGCTGCATCTCCCAGGTTTGGGCTGATCCAGCCCCCTGCACTTAACGTAAATGAGAACATCCTGTGGGTGCAGTTGGAGGCCCAGGAGGTCTCGAGTCCTCCACAGCCCCTCACCCTGCCCTGACCCCTCCCAGCTGGACCCACCAGATGGTCCCTCAGGAGGCACTCCCCTGGCTGTGGCTTTGGGGACCTTGGTTGTGGCTCTGCCTTGCAGTGAAGTTCTCCTGCTGGGGCTGGCTGCAGGGAACAGCCCTTCTGCCTCCCCTCACTGCTGCCTCTCCACGTTTGCTCTCCCTCAGAGTGGGAGTGCTCTTCCTGAGGGGCAGGGGTGAAGATCCTGTGGCTGGCTGCCTGCCCTGCCTGGAGTGGAGATAAAGAGCAAGAGTGGGCCAAGGGACACCAAACAGAACAGCCACACTCGTGCGTTCTGTGAGTCTGTAATGGTTCTATATAAGCATTTTTTAATAACAATGCCCTGTTATCAAACACTGGGGTGCACTGAAAACGTGCAGCAGTCCTGCCTTTTGCAAGTCCCCAAGGCACAGCATACACAATCTAATTCCTTTGTCTGGCATACTAATGACAACCAACTTTGATTAGTATTAACCTTAAACCTGCTGCTGCTGACTTGCACCCAGGTTAGCTGTAGGAGAGTCAGAGCTGCAACCATGAGTGCACCCGATACAAAACTGAGAGTGAGCACTTTCCTGTCCTCAGTGGTATGCAGAAAAGAGAATTCTGCACAAAAAATTAGCCTGAAATTTGAAGAACTCAGTTCTTGAAACAGGCCATGAAATGAGCAGTGTGGTTCAACCTGCTGCTGCTGACTTGCACCCAGGTTAGCTGTAGGAGAGTCAGAGCTGCAACCATGAGTGCACCCGATACAAAACTGAGAGTGAGCACTTTCCTGTCCTCAGTGGTATGCAGAAAAGAGAATTCTGCACAAAAAATTAGCCTGAAATTTGAAGAACTCAGTTCTTGAAACAGGCCATGAAATGAGCAGTGTGGTTCCTTCGTGTTAGCATAAAATTAGCCTGAAATTTGAAAAACTCAGTTCTTGAAGCAGGCCATGAAATGAGCAGTGTGGTTCCTTCGTGTTACTCCTCATGCCATGTTTGTGTTCACGGATGTGTTGGCCTTGGTTGATGGTAGGTTCTGCTTTTGTGATTTAATTTAATGTCTTTCTTATTATAGGCATGCAGCTAGCAAATCTAATAATAAACTTCTGTAAATATTAGTTTGGGAGGCATCTGTTTCTTCAGGAAGCCTTAGAAGCAGCAGGTTTGTTAGTTATGAAATATGCATAATGGAATAGTTGCTGGAAGAGCTTCTGCGAGGCTGGGGACACGGTGACACACGGGGCACTGTGGTTCTTCAGAGCAGGCAAATCTGAACGAGCACTTGGAGAGAAATGTGACAAAATTCCATCTTTTTAGGGGCTTGTCTGGTCACAAGTACAGTGCCACAGCAGCAAGTGTTCCCCCTTGCCCTGGTAGCTAAGGGGTTGAGTCCCGTGAGGGTGCAGCAGTTCCCAGCAGGAACCAGTGTCCATACCTGGAGGGAGTTCTCTGGGTGTGTGGCTTTCTTGCCCCCCGTGTCTCTGCACTGGACAGAGATGTCCTGTGTCAGTGCAGAGGCCAAGCTGCCTCCACACACACAGTCTGGGGGAGGAGCTGTGGTTTATGTCAGCTGAGGGTTTTCTCCTGTAAGGAGGAGCAGCCTCAGATGGAAAGGGATGTGTGGTGTGAGATTTTCCTTTGCTCTGGCTGTTAGATCAGCTGCACTGGTTGTACTCCAGAGGCTGTGAAAGGTGATGGACACACCCTGCGTGCTGTAGCCATCAGGAGCTTACTCAAACCTGCAGCATCCAGGGAAGAGATGCTCAGAGGGCCCCAGTGGCTGGGGTCCTGCAGGGGTAGAGGATGGATGAAGTGAGGTAGGGCTGAATGAATCCCATGAACAGACCATGCCCCAGGAGGCAGAGGGGGGAAAATCCCCAGTTTCACCCTGGGAACTCCTGTTCAACCCTCTATTGGGCAAACCACAGGAGGCATCTGGGGATATTTTTCCCTGTGTCCATCCTTTAGCCTTTCAGCTCCTTTCTCCTGACATGGCCCTTCCCAAGTGTTCAGATGGTGGAGAAACAACAGAAATCATAGGTCAGAATGCACCTGCCTGACTGATGGAAGCCCTTCTCCCCAGGCTCTGGGGTGGAGGGCTGGGCAGGGCCCCTGGAGTGGGCAGTTTGGCTGCAAAGCTGCATGAAGGCTCCAAGAGGTTCACAGAGGCAGTGCAAAGCTGCTGCTTTCCCCCAGGGTCCATAAAGAGGAGACATGGCTGAGGGAATTGTTACCTTTATTCCCCCATCAGAACAGACCCCATGACCATATTCTTTTATCTTCTGCAATTTTCCCTAGACAGCAAATCAAAGTATATATTATTTATTATAATGTATATCTTAAAAATAGATGCTATAAAAGATTGCTAATCCACATTCTTGAAATCCAAGAATCTCTATTTAAGAACTATTGTAGCTGTTTAGATGCAGTCCTGGGCAACTGGCCCTGCTTGAGCAGGGGAGATGGACAGGATGATCTTCATGGGTCCCTTCCAGCCTCAGCTGGGAGACCTTAAAGGTGGGGAAATAGGGTGGGAAGGGTTATAATCTGCTGATTCAAAACGTGTTATTTCTGCTGTTCCTTTCCACTGCAAACTCCTGAGAAGGGTCACTCCATGAGGGGACAGAGGTGGTGTGCAGGCCCCTCAGGTGTGTGAATTTGGGTTGTGAGTGTAGAGCAAATGATGCCAGCATGAGGAAACCTCACTTAACTCTCAGCAGTTACCTGCGACTTATGACAGACTTACATGATGTAGCTCATGGAAGGATCTTGATCAAACTGAACTGGGGTGACTTCATACAAGAATAAAGATGTCTGTGAGGGAGAGAGGTAGAGAGGGGTATCATTTTATTTCCCACTTTTGAAGGTGAATGTTTTTAATGACATTTCTGGTAAACAACATGAGATTTGAAGGAAATAGCAGTGGCCTAGTCTTAGGAAAAAGAAAGCAAGTCCTGAGTTACTTCATCCATCCCAACAGAGCTTAAACTGTTTCTTTTCTAAGGGATCTTGGGACCACGTTGTCTCATCTGCACGTCCTGTGGATGGCTCGCTGTGGGCTCTCGGATTTAGATGGGATCTCTTCCTGCAGCTCTCTGAGAGTAAGTGTAGATGTGTCCTGCCAGATGATGGCCTCAAAACTATCTTCAGTTGATGCCTTTTACTTGCAGTTTCTCTTTGTTTTTCTAAAGGACTTGGATTGGATGCCTTGAGTTGCATGTGTTAGTTCAAAAGGCACTGCAGCATGGTTTTAAAATGAGGTGTAACACTCAGGTCTGATCCTGCTGCAGCATGATGTTCACTGCCATATTGCCTGTAGTTATTTAAGGCAGCAGCAGCTACCCTTGAACAATGTTCACTTCCATGCTAATTCCATGCTGTGCATGTAATATTTCCAATACTAGAAAACATTTTGCAGAGCTTGAGTGTTACTTGTGCAGGCTTTTGGTTTACATGGTTATTCTCTTTACCTCTGCTGAGGAACTCTACATAGCCTATAACAACATCTCTGACCTGAGCCAGCTGACCTGGTTGGAACACCTGAAGGTTTTGGACCTGGAAGGGAACAATATTGAGGACATCAACCAGATGCTGTACCTGGGACTCTGTGGCCAGCTGAGACGCCTGACAGTGGAGGGCAACCTCATCTGTCTGAAGCCAAGTGCAGAATCTGCAGAGGTGAGGACTTGGTTTGCACACGTTGTGTTGATTTTTGGCATTTGTTAATTTGAGTTGGAAAGGAGAAACCTTTCTGCATCTTCCTGCTGTGTCAGTCTGAGTGATGGCATGGGATGCATTCCCCAGCTTTGGTTTCTCTTGACTTTCTCCTCTCATGGGTAGTGTCTCTGAGATGAGCACAAATGTAGTACAAGGAGTGCTGCTGAAGACTCAGGCCTGTTTCCTAGCAATGTTTTCCTTCCTACCTGTGAGAATGGCATTAAACTAGAAATCAGCTGTTCTGATCCATGCAGATGTTTGGTCTTAAAGGAAGAGCAAGGAGAACATGGACCTCAGCTGTATGACAGATCCTTCAGTCTGCAGGGATCTTACAGAGGGTTAGAAAGCAGCCAGTATTTTTCTTAGAAGATGTGCCAATTGCAAAGTCTCAAGTAGATATCTGTCTTTGGGCTTTTGCATTTCCTTGGGAGGCTCTCTGGTCCAAGAGCAAGTGCTCCAGGACCACCACGATGAAAAGCTGAAAAGTGATGTTTGAGATAACCAGGAAAAGCTGCATTGTAGGAACCACTGGTTGTCCTTTCCCCAAAGGGCTGAAATCAAATGGCCAAAAAGACCTTCAGCAAAAGCTGCAGATACAAAACAGTGATTCACATCATAACCAGGGAAAGCTGCATTGTAGGAACCACTTTCCCCAAAAGGCTGAAATCAAATGGCCAAAAAGACCTTCAGCAAAAGCTGCAGATACAAAACAGTGATTCACATCTTACATACTGAAATACTGGAATCATTTCTGCAGAGATGTTTTGTTGAGGGCATGAGATGCTCTGTGTCAGAAGGCTGAAAGCACAGTGGCACATGATCTGCTTGGGTGTCAGGGCACTCAGCGAGTGAAGTGTGGGAGATCTCATTCTGCATGAACAGCCTCAGAGCTCATTCACTTTCCCCTGCTTAAAAGAAAACATTGCTGGGATATAAAAACAAGCATCTTGGCATGAGCTGAGGAGGTAACTGGAGGAAAAGCAGAGTCTAAAAGCCAGATCAAATGGGAGTGTTCCTCACTGTGGTGATGTGGTGTCTGACACGCATCGTCAGGGGGCAGTTTACAGCCAGCTCACGACGTGCTGTCACCCAAAACACTGGGTTTGACATTTACCCTGGGCTTAGACTTGAAAACTGAGGTGCTGTCACTGAAAATCACTCATGTGGTAGACATATGCAGATTTTAAATCTTTACACTTTTTTTGTGGTTTGGGGTCAGGGCCATCCCCAGACCCTTAACAGACACTCTCTGTTAGAGAGAGAAGGGGAAGAGAAAGGGAGTAAGGGAGAGGGAGACTTATCAGTTAGGAAAGAAAATGAAAACAGCTTCAATTCTGCTACTATTGATAATAATGTAATATTGCAATATTGTAATAATGATAATAAAATGGAATATGTACAAATATACACAAGATCAGTGTGGAACCCAACACCCCCCAATGGGAACACGTCACCCTCACCCCTGGCTGGGGAGCAGCCCCAGGGAAGGTCCCAGGCTGGGCTCAGTGCAGATGGCAGCTGGGTGCAGGGGCTGGATTTGGGAACTGGGGTCAGGAACACGTGGCTGGGATCACAGGCAGAGGGGAGGGGAGCAGCCCCAGCGAGGAGGAAGGTGGAAGGAGATTGGAAGGGCCACAGAAGGGGTTTGACCCACATGATCCTTCAGCTTTTATCCTGAATACTGGGGACATGGGATGGAACACCCCACTGGTGAATCCTGGGGTCACTTATCCTGCCCACTCCTCCCTGCAGGTGTGGCTTTACTTTCTGCCCCCTCCATGTGGGACACAAGCTTAGCAGTGACCTTGGTCTGCATCCCAATCCCTGGCAGTAACTCTAGCCAGGGAGTGTTACCACTGCTTAAAAACAGTCTGCAAGACATGCTGCTAGCTGCAGACAGTGCAGCTGGTTAGAAGAGCTTTAGCTGAAAAGTTTACGTCCTTGGACAGTCAGCTCTGTTCTAGCCCAGACCAGGACAATGAGTTATTAGCATTTTTCAGATGCAGTTGTTGGCTGGATCACATCCCTCAGTAAAAGGAGCCACAGAAGGTAGTGCTTTAGCCAGCACAGCTTTTCTCTCTGGAATCCAAAAAAGAAGAAATCAAACACTTGCCATGTGGTTTTGAACTGGTAGGATTGTACTTCAGAGAGCACACTTGTAACTCTTTGTAACCAAAGTGATTTCTCCATCAGCACTTCTCCCTTACAGAGGGTGTGATCAAGAGAGGAGAAACTTACTCCAGCATGAAGGAAGCACTGCCTGCTTCTGGTGGCCAGAGCATGTCTCCCAGGGGGACAGATGCTGCAGCTCCTGACCCTTCCTTATCACAGCTTCCTGCCATGAAGGTGGTGCAGTGTGTCCTGACAGTGTTAGAAAGTGCTTCCACTGTGTGCCACCCCTGCTTAGGGAGAGTGCTGGGTTTGGAGGACGTGGCTTCCACTTGGCATCTTCAGTCCTTAAAGACTTGAAGGACTGAAAGAGTCCTTCAGTCTCTTTGTAGTGGAGAAATGTCAGATTGTCCTTGGTTTGTTTAGCTGAGGAAATCAGTCCTTGGGCTGCTTCTGCATGTTGTCACCTAACAGGAGCTGGAGGAGGAGTGGTATGTGGTGGTGTGCCCTGCTGCTCTTCTCCATGCTGCATGGCCATCCCTGCTCCTGTGCCTGGCCGTGCATTCAGATGCCAGCCCAGCCTGGGTGGGGGAGCCTGCAGGAAGGTATGTCCTGTGCCAGAGGCAGGCTGCAGGCTCACTGGGTCTCCAGGTGGAGAAGCTGCTCAGGCCTGGGGTGGTTACAAAGCTGGCCCTGCCCTTGACTCCATGGGCTTTGTTGCTTTCTTGGTTTCAGCTGATGTTTGCATTTCTTCAGGGTATGGAAAAGCCACCTGAAAGATAGAAAAGAGCAGACACAGGCTTACTTTGGGCTTACTTTGGTGTGTCCTAGATGACCAGCTCCAATTCCTCATCCTTGTAGTCTGGTCCTTGCTACAGCTCTGTGACAGCTCCCCTATTTATTTACTTTCAATCTGCAGAAGGGTCCAGCTCCATTTACTGCTCTTTCCTCAGATGGCCTGTTTGCTCCCTGTAATTTGATTTTCAGATGAGCTCATCTTCCCCTGTTATCTAAACCAGGAGCAACAGCCCGGTGATAAATCCTGCAGCCCCTGTAACATGAGCATAACATGATGCCCCTCTGCAGCAGGACCTGGCTGGAGCTTGGCTGTGGCCCAGGCTCTGCTCAGAGTCCACGTGGCACAGGGTAGCATGGAGATGGATTGACTCATTTGCTAAATTAAGACTAAAGGCTTAGAGAAATTTAGAGTCTGCCTCTTCAAGAACATCAACAACCAGAGGCTTTACTTGGTGAGTTCCCCCTGCCAGCCTCCATGCTGGAGGGAGGGAGGGAGGGAGGGAGGGAGCCAGGTCCCACAGGGAGAGGTGTGGCGGCCCCATGTTGGTGAGGATGTGGCTCTGTGGGCTGTTCTGCTGGTGCATGCAGGGCTTGGGAAGCCTGACACTCATCTGGATGGAGCCACTGCTTGGCAGGTGACTGCCATGAGCAGTACACTCTTGCTTTGAACCAGAGCCAGCGTGTGCCCAGCTGGCCGAGAAGGCCACCAGCATCCTCGCCTGGATCAGCACTAGTGCCATGAGCAGTGCACTCTTGCTTTGAACCAGAGCCAGCATGTGCCCAGCTGGCCAAGAAGGCCACCAGCATCCTGGCCTGGATCAGCACTAGTGTGGCCAGCAGGAGCAGGGCAGTGTCCTGGGCCTGGCCAGCACGGGGTTAATGTTCACAGGCAGCTGGAGCTGGGAGAAGCTACAGCCAGGATGAACAGGGAAACCAGCAGTGAGGTGTCTGGTACCACACTGACATCTGCCTTCCATGGAAGGGCTGGTCAGGGGTGTGAGCTCACAGCCCCAGCAGGGAGAGCTGCAGCTCAGGGGAGGGCTTCCTTATCCCTCACCTCGTGTATCACCTCAGTGCTGGTACCACTGCTGCTGCCACCTCTCCTCTTTGTGCTGTTCTGTTAAACTGTCCTTATCCCAGCCCACGGGCTTTCTTTGGCCACCTGCTCAGGTTTAGCTGGAGCTGAGGCTCAACCACAGCAGGCAGGGATCATCCCCCAGCACTGGGCACTGGGGAAGCTGCACCTGGAATCCTGGGGTCAGTTCTGGATACATCAGTGCAAGAAAGACCTTGAGGGGCTGGAGCGTGGCCAGAGAAGGGCAGTGAAGCCGCTGGGGAAGGGTCTGGAGCCCAAGTGTGGGGAGGAGCAGCTGAGGGAGCTGGGGGTGCTGAGCCTGGAGCAAAGGAGGCTCAGGGGAGACCTTCTGGCTCTGCACAGCTCCTGACAGGAGCCTGGAGCCAGGGGGGGGTCGGGCTCTGCTCCCAAGGGACAAGGAACAGGACAAGAGGAAACAGCCTCAAGTTGTGAGAGGAGAGGTTTAGGTCAGATATTAGGAAAAATTTGTTCCCCAAAAAGGTTGCCCAGGGCAGTGGTGGAGTGCTCATCCCTTGAGGGGTTTCAAGGCCATGGAGATGTGGTCCTGCTGGACATGGTTTAGTGGTGCCTTAGCAGTGCTGGGTTTGTTGTTGAACTCCATGATCTTTTCCAGCCAAAGCAATTCCATGATTTCCATACTTCCTTGTACTGGAAGAGACCATCATCACCACTTGCTGCCTTTTGTCATCAGAGACTGCCCGTTGCAAAGCAGCATGTCCCAGTCAGCCCTGAGGTACTGCAAAGTTCTCCCAAGCACAGAGGTGCCACATAAAGGTGTCTTTCTGCCCCTGGGACTCACCAGACCAGCCCAGCTCACAGTGTGCTCTGAACAGTGTAACTGTTCTGCAGCAGCCTCTCTGCTCAGAGCTCCCTGGGCACTGGCACATGCCCTGCTCTTTGCTTTTCCATCAGCAGGAGTGGCAGCACTCAGAACGTGTTGTCAGGTCTTCCTGTCACCTGAGGATTGATGCAGCAACCAGGAAACAGCCCAAGCAGGGCGAGGCTGGCTGAGTGCTGGGGGTGCCCAGGCCTTCCGTGGGCACCAGTGCCCACCTGCACTTCCCCACCTTGTAGTAATGTAGAATCACAGTGTGGGTTGGCTTGGAAGGGACCTTAAAGCTAGTCCCAAACCCCCTGCCATGGGCAGGGACACCTCCCACTGGAGCAGGGTGCTTAAATCCCATCCAGCCTGGCCTTGAACACCTCCAGGGATGGAGCATCCACAGCTTCCCTGGGCAGCCTGGGCCAGTGTCTCACCACCCTCACAGTGAAGAACTTCTTCCTCATTTCTAATCTAAATCTCCCCTCTTCCAGTCTGAACCCATTACCCTGTGTCCTACCACAAGCCTTGCAAAGAATCCTTCCCCAGCTTTCTTGTAGGTTCCCTTCAGATCCTGGAAGGCTGCAATAAGTTCTCCCTGGAGCCTTCTCTTCTCCAGGCTGAACAACCCCAACTCTCTCAGCCTGGCCTCACAGCAGAGGGGTTCCAGCCCTCTGATCATTTTTGTGGCCTCCTCTGGCCCTGCTCCAACAGGTCCATGTCCTTCTTGTGCTGGGGGCTCCAGAGGGAGTCTGAGAGTGTTCTGCAACAAAGACAAATATCCATAACAAAGACAAATGCCAAAGTCACCAGTGGGTGACCAGCAGAGGAGCCTCTGAGCAGGGGGGTTTGCATTGCTCAGGACATGCTCACCAGCAGTTTGAGTGGAAGTTGCATGAGGAGAATGCCCAGTGGAGTGAAACTCTGACTGTTTTATTCCTGGTGAATGAGGTGAGTGGGTTTGCCTTGCAGAAGCTGTTTGAGTTATATGGCAGTCACAGAAATTGAACTGTGCTGCTGGTGGGAGTCCACAGTCTGTGAAATCAACTGCTCAAGTGGCTGCTTTCTCCATTTCTCCAGGAACCAGACTATAACTACAGAGCTGAGGTAAAAAAGCTCATTCCCCACTTGGAATATCTGGATGACATACCAGCAAGCCAGACTGCTCTCCCTGCTGCCAAGAAGACCCATGAGGACTGGCTCATCATCAAGGAATCCATCAAGGAAGGTGGCTTAGCTGGGGACATTTCCTGGTTAGGTATGTCAGGGTTCCTGTCAGGGTTCATTGTTCAGGCTGGCCTCCTCAGCTCACATTCAGTCACAGCAGAGGGACAGAGGACATTGTCTGCTTCACTGGGGACGTGAGGGAGCTGGGGTTCAGCACTCTGCAGGTTGAAACAAAAGCTGTCCTGAGCTGGGCATCCACATCAGGAAAGTGCAGATGGCTCCTAGAGCACGAGGTGAGTGGGGCAGCAGCTCCAGCCTGTACTTGGTGTTTGCTCTGCACAGGGAGGAGCCAGGCCTGGGGAGGGGGTTTCAGCCAGGGCTGTTCACACCCTGCCTGTGCCACAGCCAGCCCACGAGCGTGGGTGCAGCAGGAGCTCCTGCTCCAGCTCAGGACCAGGGAAGGCACTTTGGTCACCACTTTGTGGTGGCAGCAGCAGCCCAGCAGCTGAGCTGGCAGGATCTCCAGAGAGATCTGTTCCATTTTCTTTGCCTCTGTGATTAAGTCCATTACATTCATTAGCAGGGTAAATGGTTTGGAAACAGACCCGTTGTCCCCTTGCCCACAGCCTTGGTTATAGTTCAGATGTCCATGCTTTTACCTGGCTGCTGCATGCACTTCACCACGTCCCATTAAAGATTACAAAGTGTTTCCTATAACTGCTCCTGTTGCTTCCCATTAGTCTGGGCAATGGCCATCCCAGCCCCCCAGCTGTGGTTTGCCTGCCAACTGTACTCCATTAAAAATTTAGCTTGTTTTGGAGTAAGTACATACATTTGTCATTTATTTAATCCCTGTGGGTCCAAGTAATTAGTTGTAATAGTAGTTATGGTAGGGGAAAAAATCCATTAAAATCTGATCCCTCAGTGATCCCACTTTGGCAACGTCAGCTATGGTTCAGACAACTAGTTAACAGGGACTGCTGACAGGAGCAGTGGGGACAGCACAGAGCTGGGGCTGCCTAGTGCTTGCCTGTGCAACCACACTCACAGCCTTGCCTTCAGCTCTAACTGATGAGCTCATGAGCTCAGGTTCAGGCATCCACGTGTGTTTTTCTTTCCTCTGGCAGTGGCAGCTCAGGTACTTTTTGTGGGGGGTGTATTTTGTGGCTTTGTATTAACACTGATGGCCAAGGTATTTTGAAGTTCCCTAAACTCAGCTCCTAAGGAAGTGGTCATGTTGTTCCAGAGCTGATTGCTCTGCTGTGGAGCTCTGGATGCTCAGCACCACCAAAGCATGCTGTTCATCCTGGCACTGAGCTGAGCTCTGCTCCCCTGGGGGTTGCTGCCTGCCCGTGCTGCTCTCACTCTGTGCTGTGCTCCCAGGGCAGCCAGGGGCCAGGCAGGTAGGAGGACAAGGCTCTGTCCACCTTCACTAGCCTTTGTATAATCCACCCTGCTCTGCAGCACTACAAAACCTCCATCTTCACCTTTCTTTCTGTGGTGAAGTGTCTGTGTCTGAGGCAGGAAGAATCTGTCGCTGCTGTTCCCAGATGTAACTCCTGGGCTGTGGTTTGCCCTGCTTGACTGGCAGCTCTGGTGACGTGCCCAGCACCATCTTCATCCTGCTTGGGTATTTCAGCAGCACATTTTAAAGCTGGGGGCTTGGACCGTGCCTGTGGCAAGCCTGCAGTGGTTGCCCCCCAGGCAGGTGGGCAGCAGATGAGGAGCAGCTTGCCCTGACCCCAGCCACGCAGGCAGGGAAGGAGCAGAGCCCTGGCCACGTCCAGGCTCACCATGGAGCAGCTGGAGGTGAGAGGTGAGCACAGAGCAGCTCCTGACCCTGCACTCAGCCAGCAGCCAGTCTCTGGTGCCCAGGAGCAGGAGGAGGGTGTGAAGGGACTTTGGCTCAGCTGGGGGTCCCCAGGTTCTGCTGTCTGCAGAGGACAACTACAAGGTGTGCAGCACCAGGCTGAGAGGCAGCACCTCTGTCACCAGGCCTGACCCACTCCAGCATGGCTCTTGACCCATTCCAGCACTCCTGACCCACTCCAGCATGGCTCTTGACCCACTCCAGCACTCCTGACCCACTCCAGCAGTACCTGTCCTGTCCCCCAGCGTGCAGCAGCAGTGGTGGGCTGGGCAGCGCGTGGCCATGGTGTGCTTTGAAGCCTTGCACAACTGCTCTGACACTAACAGGACCTCTCTCTTGTCTCCACAGCTGGGGCAGCAGCAGGGCAGTCTGGCTGTGACCCAAGGCCCCCCACAGCCTTCAGGCCTGGAGCTGGGCTGTGCCCTGGCAGTGGGGGCAGACCCGGCCGTGCCCCCCTCTGGAGCGGCGTCCAGCTGCCCCTGGGCCCTGCTGCTCCTGGAGAGCTCTTCACAGAGGATGACTCCAGTGAGCTGACCCATGGTAATGTATGGGGTTTGAGTCTTGGCCTTTCCCACACCTCGTTTTTCTGAGTGTTGTTATTGCTGATGAAGGTCTGGGTGCTTTGAATATCACCCACCCTTGCCACTGCTAGATGAGGTTCAGCAAATGTTTTCTTCCATGGCATTCTCCTGCTTTTACATTTCTGCTTATCTCCCCCTGCAGCAGAAGGTGCAAGTCCTCTGGACTTCCTCCACCTCAGCCCCTTGCTGTATTGCTGTCCCTCTTGACAGCCCCATGCTGGTGCTCCTTTGCTGGCCTTGCCTTTCACACCTCAACAAAAGCTGTCCTGCTGGCCTTCAAATTGCACACTCAGGCCTCACTGAGCTCACATCTGGGCACATCCCGTTCAGCCACAGCAATGTGGTCCAGGGTACTCCTCTAGGAAGGCCTGGTGGTGCACACTGCCTCCCTGCTGGGTCACCCCAGCAGCAGCCCTGCTGTCAATAGCCCTTTCCTTTGGGTTCCAGGGGTGGGTCCCTCAGCAAGAGGGGTCAGTTCCTTGACTTCTGCTCCTTGCAGGGCAGCCCAGAACACAGACTTACCCTGCCCTTCATGCCCTGGCCACCTGCAAGTGCTGGGAGTTGGCAGCTCCTGGGCTCAGCTGGGTGGGATGGGAATTCACTTTGGATACAGCCTGTGGCACTTCCCAACACATCCTTCCCTGGCTCCTGGCTCTTGATGGTGCATCTCCACCAGCCTGTGGAGTGCAGATTAGGTGGGCAGGTGGTGGTTGTTCTCCAGTCCCACCTCAGTTCCTTGCTGTGGGTTGGACTCAGGCTGATGAACTAGATGGAACAATAGTGTCAGAAAAGGACATGGAGGCCAAGTACAGCTTGCCAGGGAGCAAGGCCATGAATCCACTTGCACTTCTGTACAGCTGGCACTGCTGAGAGAGACACTTTCACCCAGTGTCCACTGCTACCTTGAGTCTTGTTTTGGCAAAAGCATCTGCAGAGCCACTTGGGGAACCTGATTCTGAGTGAGATCCAGCTGGAAAATAACCCAGCAAAACAAAGAAACCAAAGCCCTCCCCAGGACACATCCACATCCTCCTGTCCACGGGAGGTGATGCTGGCTGGTGTCAAAGACAGCACTGGTTGTTAAATGCTGCAGTAACACGTTTTCTTTTTTCTTAGGACTGAGCCAGGTTATATGTGGGAACCCCACCAAGGCCCTTCATGCAAGGAGGCAGAAGTTGGGGGTATGTTTTTCTTGTGCACTTCATATTCCTGCCTGGTGACCCCATAAATCCTGGGACAGACTGAACTCCCACTGGGGCTTGGGGCAGCTCACTCTCCTCTAGAGCCCAAACACCCCAGCCTGCCCTTGGCCTTGGGGAGGGGGGAGTCTCTTGCCCTGGTGCTGCAAAGTGCCTGTGTGTGAGCAGCAGCTCACCACCAGCTCTGCAGGGACACGTGGAAATCCTTCTCTTCTTCCCTCAGCTGCTCCTCACCAGCCATGTTCCCCAGAGCCCTCCCCAGCTCCGTTGCCCTTCTCTGGACCCTCTCCAGCCCCTCAAGGTCTTTCTGATCCTGTGGGGCCCAAACCTGACCCCAGTGCTCAAGCTGTGGCCTCAAGTTTCTGAAACAAAGTTGAACACTTGAATGAATTACTATCTGTTAGGATGTGGAAGGGGACTGTGGTCAGGTGCTGGATGATGCAGTTTCTGTGGTATTTGTCTTTATAGAACTATGGAATTGTTTGGTTTGGAAGGGACCTTAAAGATCATCTGGTTCCAACCCCCTGCCATGGGCAGGGACAGCTCCCACTGGAGCAGGGTGCTCAAATCCCATCCAACCTGGTCTTGAACACTTTCAGGAAGGGACCTATGGAAAAATATATATGTATGAATATATATATGATTAAGTTTATAACCAGTGATATGGTTGTTGGTATAGATGCTACAGGCTTATATGCCAGGGAGATACAAATCCTAAATTTTTGTTATGGGCACTCTGGGTTCCTCAAGCAGTGACAGTGGACATGACTGGGGGGTGTGGCAAACTGAAGAGCAAGAAGATGGTGAGGGGTGATCCAAAAAACTGAGGAGTAAGAGTGGACTTCAGTGCCTTCTGAAATCCACAGTCCAGAAGTTGGCACACCAGGGGGATGGGATCCATCCAGAGGCACCTGGGCAGGCTGGAGCAGAGGGGCCATGTGCTCCTCATGAGGGTCAGCAAGGCTGAGGGCAGG